CTTCGTATCATTTTATTATAAGACAGTGGTAGAATACTTTTGACCTTTGTGTATAAACGATATTTTCTTGATAATGACTATGGCAACCACAAGTAATTAGGAGGGAAAAGTAGGTCAGGAAATAAGCACTTAAAATGATTTCTATTTATTTATAAAAGATAAATTTATACTTTCTACATTATGTGTCTACAATGCTAAGAAACCTCGTTTCATGTTTAGGCAACATACATTGGAGATCCGAATATTTTGGCAGGTGAAAAGCAGAATTATTTTTGATCAATAAAATTTTTAAGGGAAATTTTAAAGGTCCCGAAAAATGAGTGATTGTACGAGTGAGTGAACGAAACTGTTCTTGAAAAGAATACTATAAATATAATACTAATAATAATAGAAGAACAGAATTGAAAGAAATATTACTTACCGAAAATAGGTGCAATATCTTCTATAGAAATGTTTTTATCACACTGTAATTTATATAAGTACCTATTAGTTTACTTTTTTAACTTTCGATTTTAATGAAAATACCTACTACCCGCAATGGCGACAACGCTTCATGCGAGCTTAAAACGCGACGCAGTCTTGACTGTATTTTATCAGGCTTTGTGTAAAGGCTACCAGACTTAAAAATTTTATATGAATGCAGAAATTATTTCCTTCACATTCATAATATGGATTATAAATTTGGATATTTCTTAGTTCTTATGCTGTCACTCAAAATAGAATTTCCATATGATGGATCTGTTTAACGGGCGTCTAAATTTATGAAATGTATATACAATGTCACTTTTAAATTTGCAATAGGTGATTTACGATAACAATGGCTTTCAGTCAAATGTAAATTAAGTTGGTAGAATAGTACTATCTTTGCAAGATTTCCAGAACTTTCTGTATTTAATTTAGTTGTTTCCTTATTTTTTTGTAGACTAAAATTTTTGGTAGCTTAGCAAATAACACAGTTATACTGGCTAATATTTCTAATAACCTCATTTTGAATTTTGAATTTTGAAACTTTTATTACTACCCAATTTTTAAGTGAAATAAAACGAAGGAAATGATACAACATTAACATTTTATATTAAATAATATTAACTACTTAAAGCTCATTACATAATATACTAGATTCTAAAATATATCAGAGCCTGTTCTTTTTGCTCTTGCCACAGCTTCTTCTGGTTGGAGTTTCTCTTCTTCAGATGGCTCTACGGGTTGTCCGTCTGCATCTAATTTGCCTTTTTTATAATCTGTGACGATTTTCTTGCTATACACCGCATCAAACAACTGCTGCGGCGAGAATTCACTCTGTGTTACATCCACAGCTTTATAAGACACATAAGGCTTTAAATCACAACCTTTCAAATCCGGAACAATGAGTTCCGGGATCATTTCTTGGACCTCCATGAAGCGGCCGTTCACATAATAGCCTACATCGCGAACCCCTCGTTTGTCTACCGGTAATTCAGGATTTGGACCAGCCTGTCTCTTCTTATGAAGCATTGAACCTCTCTTGTTAGCGATCACGAATTTTCGAAAGTTTCGCTTACCTTCCCTTGGTAATGTTAAAGAAAAATGGCGTTTCGTCGCAAAATTTATTAATGCAGGTATTTTAGACATTTTTGGTGATATATTGATCTCTAGTAATTTACACTTTTTAGCGATTTTGAGGTTATGTTTTGAAATGTCAAGTGAAATGTGATGTGATTTTTTTAATTGCGATTTTTGGCTTCAATGCAAGCACATTAAACCAGGTCTTCATTTTAGTTTTCACGATTCTCAATAATTTTCAATTGTGTTTTTAATGTAGAATGGCGAAAAGAACTCTGCGTTTTTACATAGTTTTTAAACAGCAGGAGTCACGGGATTGTATTCCAGAACTCTACTCAATGCTCAAGTCAGGACTTGAGTATGATTTAAAACACTAGAAATCATACTCAAGTCTTTGCCATTAGGGTCGTATTTCCAGTGCTTGAAATCATACAAGTCCTGACTTGAGCATTGAATCGAGTTTTGGAATACGACTCATAGGGTCGTATTCCAGAACTCTACTCAATGCTCAAGTCTTGGACTTAAGTATGATTTATAGCACTGTAAATCATACTCAAGTCCTTGCCATAAGAGTCGTATTTCCAGTGCTTGAAATCATACTCAAGTCTGCTCAAGTCCTGACTTGAGCGTTGAGTCGAATTCTGGAATACGACACTTAGGGTCGTATTCTAGAACTCTACTCAATGCTTAAGTCAGAACTTGAGTATGATTCAAAGTACTAGAAATCATACTCAAGTCCCTGCCATTAGGGTCGTATTTCCAGTGCTTGTGTTGCCAGTGCAATCCTGACTTGAGCATTGAATAGAGTTCTAGAATACGACCCTTAGTCCAATTTGAAGGGCACAGTTGCAGATCCCGCGCTTTTGCAACGCCTCGGACATACTTAAAGACGCGCGCGTGGATGGCTTTGACGCAGTTTTGAAAAAATGTCGGGTTTTAGTAGTTACATTTATTACACGAATTAATTTTTAGTTTATTTATGGTTGTGCGTTTCTTGATTATTTGTTACCATTAAGCTGATAGCTCTGAAGCCAATGCTTTATAAATAAATAAATAATGGCTTTGACACAGTCCGGCGAAAGAAAACTGCCTCGCTGTTCAACAGAATGCGCGGGAGCTGTAACGGCATCCTGAAAGCGATAGGCCTGATTTTCCGATGATGTATAAACTCGCACAGAGGCCAATTTTATTGTTAGTTATGATGAAATGTTAATTTGTATAAGTGAAAATTAAGGATAAGCTCTAATAACATTAAAATGAACCTTAAATGTTGTATGAAGTAAATAAATCATTATTATTCATCTTTTCACTTTCTAAATCATTTCGTTCGTTTCATTCGCTTGCTCAATTTTGAACACGGTTTAATTTCGTCTTGTATGCTTCCATACCATTTACCTTTTCTGGATTCTTCTACCAGAAACTTTTCCGTAATTTTTAATTTTTAAATTTTGTTCGCTATTTTGTCCTAATTGAAAATTTTAAATCTTTTACTTATTTCGTTTCAAATTCCCGCCATTTTTTGCCAAACGTGACAACACATCAGGTAGGTATTTCGTTTCGTTACGCTTTTAAAAATAAGGCTTATAATAGAAACTAGCAACACTCAACAACAGTTCATGAGCTTGCATTTTCGACGTAGCTTGTCATTTTTCAATAATTTTGGATTGCCGAAGTTTGTCCCGAATATTGTGGTTATTCAATGATTTTATTGTGATTTTATTGAAATACTGTGAGTTGTATCCATTAATTTGTACATCGTGACGAAATTGACGTGTATGTTTTAAATAATGCCTCATTTCTTTTGTCAAGTCATGGTTATCGATGTCGTGCATTGTGGTGTATCACGATTGCTTTGTTTTAGGTGTTAGTTTGATCTAGCAGGATGGATCGTTTGTTACGTCTGGGAGGAGGCATGGCGGGGTTGTCGCAGGCACCGCCGCCGACAGACGCCCCCGTCGTGGATACGGCGGAGCAGGTGTACATTTCGTCGCTAGCTCTCCTCAAGATGTTGAAGCACGGCCGCGCTGGTGTGCCTATGGAGGTTATGGGTCTCATGTTAGGTAAATTTGCTTTGTCATTTTGCGCCACACACAACCGAGAACAGTCATTGTATCGAGGGGTACCTGAAATTCCACTACATGACGAATTCATTAAAAAACCCACTCAAGCTGTATAAATATTTTAAACAACTCATTCCCATTGTTTTCTTAAGTGAAATTGCTTTCTTTCAACATTCATGTTACGTAAAATCATATTTTACACTATGCTACCAAGAACAAATCATTGTTGATTAATTGACAATTGCGCTATAGAATAAATAAAACTTTTCAGGTGAATTTGTAGACGATTACACAGTGCGTGTGATTGATGTGTTTGCAATGCCGCAGACAGGTACAGGGGTGTCTGTAGAGGCCGTTGACCCCGTCTTCCAGGCTAAAATGTTGGACATGTTGAAGCAGACTGGACGGCCAGAGATGGTAGTGGGATGGTAAGATGATTGTTTGGTTAGTTAAGATCATAGAGATAACTTTTGTCTTCAGGCTCATCCTAAGCCTGCTGGTAGGATGATTAGATGGTGAGAAAGGTTGTTTAAATTATAATACAACATTGCTTGCCATAGCTAATGATGTAAACCAACAATTCAATGTTTATTAATTGCTAGCTTGATGTTGAAAGGTGGTATAGTTCCAGATTGATACCAGTCATGGAGTCCCAATAAATGTTTTGTAAACAGCCACACGAATGAGACTCAAAGGTGCCTTCAAATTAGATGCTTAAAGAAGCGCTGCAGTGTCGCCACAGTGGCACTGCAACCGCGCTACTACAAATTTACTTAAATCTTTAGAAGCACAGTTGCAGCACCACTGTCATGACTGCGCGCTCCACTTATGCAGTCACAATTTAGTGAACTAAAAATTACATAAGCTCTACGGGCGCACGGCGGCTGCATCACTGCAGCACTTCTACAAGCGTCTAATTTGAAGGTGCCCAACATTGACTTAAAATTATATGGATGTCGGGTCCGCGCTAAAAAGTGTCCAAACTTGTAAGGCGTTAAAATCGTATGCAGAGCGTCAAACTCCGCTTTAGTCTTCATTTGTTCGACTCACAGTGCGATACTGCGATGACATTACAATTTAAATTTCGAATAGTTTGACTTGGGACATTTTTTTCGTGGTTTTTGTATTAGACCCGTCGTCCATTTATTTGTGAGTCAATGGTGCCCAAAGACTTTTATTTATTAACTTATTTACTGTTAGTTCACATCTCCAGAATTTGTTTCTCCTGAGTGAGTGTTAACAGTGTGGAATGGCTGTATTTCATTGTCAACTATGAATGCCAGTGCCAAAAAATATCACTGCTAGAAATTGACAGTAACAAAATTACACTAATGAATTTCAATAATAGTGACATTGAATGGTAAAATTAATTCTGTTTAAAATAACATGCTTCTTTAGAAAGTTTACTCTTGGATACTCTCTCTCTCTCTCATCTGAGCGTTGTCACGGTTGCGTCCTCAGCAGTGTTGCCCGGGGTCCGCTTTCCCACTCTTTCTCCTCCACTTTCTACTCTTGGATACTATGAACACTAAATCAAATTTTTGATAAATTGCTTGTCTGTTTTTGTTTGAGGCTTATACTTTTCAAACAAAATTCTTGGATGTTCCCATCAAATGAGATTACTACTTAAAGCAAGAATGTACATTTCTTTACTGAACTTTTATAACCATAAAATAAATGTACATTTTGTATAAATTATAGGTACCATTCACATCCTGGATTTGGCTGCTGGTTGTCAGGAGTTGACATAAACACTCAGCAATCCTTTGAAGCATTATCAGAGAGAGCCGTAGCTGTTGTAGTAGACCCCATTCAGTCAGTAAAAGGAAAGGTGGTCATTGATGCATTCCGGCTAATAAACCCTAACATGATGGTACTTGGTCAGGAACCCAGACAAACCACTTCAAATTTGGGACATTTACAAAAGCCCTCTGTGCAGGCTCTCATCCACGGACTCAACCGTCACTATTACTCCATCAGTATAAATTATAGAAAGAATGAACTAGAGCAGAAAATGCTATTGAATCTTCACAAAAAATCCTGGATGGATGGACTTACATTGTCAGACTACAAAGAGCACTGTTCCATTAATGAGACTACTGTGACAGATATGCTGGAATTAGCTAAGAACTATAATAAGTCTCTAGAAGATGAGGAGAAAATGACGCCTGAACAGCTGGCCATCAAGAATGTTGGTAAACAAGATCCAAAAAGGCATTTAGAGGAGAAAGTGGATGTCCTGATGTCTAACAACATAGTGCAGTGTCTAGGAGCCATGCTTGACACGATGGTATTCAAATAACGAGCATTCAGGACATTTTTATATAAATTTAAGGCTATAGTAAAGTGGCAATAAATCCAGTTTTACTCCGTTCCCACACCAATCCTGATAGTCCACTAATGTATGATATTTATTATACAATATGTATTGCAAAATAAAACTATCTTTTTTTTATGAACATTTATTTAATTATTTGCTTTAAAAGAACAATCTCACTGGTGCAATGGTTTTAGTGATGTCAGCAAGTTTTTTCTTTATGATGGGTTGTTTATCCATATCCGAGAATTCTATGTCGAACATTGGTTTCAAGTTGGGTTGACTGTTGACTATGTCTTTTATTATTCTTTTCACTTTCAGAAATGCTGCATCAGGATCATCCATACTAACCTGTACAGGCGAAATTAGGTTTGATCTGCTTTGCATACATATGCAATTCAGCATATATCTTGCTTAAATCTTGATATAAAAACACGTGCATTACGAACGCAGCGCTAATTAGTACAGACAATTGGGGTCGATCACGTTATTGCCTTTATTATGTATATCTTGAAAAAAAAAATGCGTAAATTTATCTTAGAAAGACAAAAATCAGACAGCATTTATTATTAGACAAATACTTTGTTCAAATAAAAAGTTTCTGAAACTTACAAAAAATTAATGGCGATTTCGTTTTGATAGGCAACAGCCTATCAAAACGAAATAAGGTCATTTATAAAATGGACATTTACTTATTTGCTATTAAACGGTTGAGTTCCTGATGGCATGGTAATGATGTCAAGCGAGCCGACCTCCCCCTCTTTAGCCCGGGAACCTTGGTGGAAACCGAGGTGGCCGGGGATGTACTGGTGAATTTGCGAGATCCCACGACTCAGGAGTTATGTGGGGACTTCCCCTCCAGACTGGAGGGCCTACCCCACTAAAACCCCCCCCGGGTTTACCTCCCGCCGTTTGTGTCGGCGCCGTGGGGTCGGTGTACATTCACCACGACGCCGCCCGATCGCCCTAGCTTGCCCCGCGCCAACGGAGGGGCAGGTCAGTTGTCCTCCGACCCGCCACCAAGACGAGTGAGGCCGTGCAATGTAGGCTCCCCCTGTCCAGAGCCTGCTGGCCTCACTAGGGGATCAGGCGAGCAGCGAACTGCCTTCGCTTTCTCCCCGTACGTCTGCGCCGAAGCGGGTGCGCGTCTGTCGCGTCCTCGCGCACTCGCTCCGCAGCCTTCTTTTGCGACATAACCTCTCCGCAAAAGGAGGCTACCGCCTCCCAGGACTCCTCGCTACCGAGCATGGCGGCAACCACGCTCGGCAGCGAGAGGTCCTGCCTTATTGTCCCCGTCAGGGTACGGCGCTGCTCATTCCACCGGCTGCACACCTCTAGGGTGGGCTGCACGGTGTCATCCGCAGCGCCGCACTCGTGACACGACGGGTACGGGTTCCCTTCTCGCCACCTTGTGTAGGTAGTGACCGAAGCAGCCATGCCCGGTCAGCACCTGCACAAGGTGGTACGACAGTGGTCCGCGGGACCGGCTCACCCACTCTACGAGGACAGGACGGATCGCCTCTATGGTACGAGGTCCCTAGGGGGGATCCGCCAAGCTCTCTTTCCACCGGACCCGCATGCGCTGCGTCGCGAGGCGGCGCTCCCGCTCAGCAGGGCGCTAGCCTCGGTCCCTCATGCCCCGCCGTTAGGCGCGGACCTCCGCAAGGACCTCGGCTTCAAGGTTCCACGGCGGAGTACCGAGAACGCATGCGGCAGCGCAGGCCACCGTCATGTACGCCCTGCACATTCGCTGGGCGACCACCCTCTGAGGCCTCCTTAGCAGCGATTTCGTCGCCGCTGACTGAGACCTCCTTAGCAGCGATTTCGTCGCCGCTGATAAGGCCCCACTTCAAATAGGAGCCCCGTATAAGGCCATACTTCGGGTCACTCCGGCGTATAGCCTTCTGCATGGGGCTTCCGGCCTCCCGAGATTGAGCAGGAGCCGACCCAACGCCGATGCGGCGCCCACTATTCGGGGAGCAAGTTGCCGGAAATGCTCCCCGAAGTTCTATCACAGGACAAGGACCAGGTATTTCATCTGGAACCTGACCAGGACTGATAATCCCGCGATGGAGATGTGGGCGCCTGCCGGCACTGCCCAACCGCTGCTTCTCCCGCCGAAGACGGCCACATCCGTCTTCGGCACGGCGACCTCGAGCCCCAGCAGTTGTATTCGGCGGACCACCATGTCTGCCGCTGCGGAGGCTCTTCGGGCCGCCTCCTGGAAGGTGGTCCGCCGGACGGCCACCAGCGTGTCATCGGTGTACGCGATGACCGCCGTCCGGGGAAGCAGCGACGGCAGTGAGGGGCACCTCAGCACCCAATCTTACCCCAGGTTCCACAGTAGTGGTCCTAACACGGACCCCTGGGGTACTGCGCACCTCATTGGGCGCTCGGCGCGCCTCCCTTTCCTCGTCTGGTAGAGCACCACCCTGTCCTCCAGGCAGTGCTCCACCAGACGGCTGAGGTACCTGCGGATCTCGTGGTACCTCAGCGCCTCCCTGATAACGGCGAAGGGGAGAGTGCCGAAGGCGTTGGCTATGTACAGAGACAGCCACTACACCCTCCCTCTCGCCGTTAGCCTCCTCCACGATGTGTCGCAGCGACTCCAGGGCGCCCAAGGTGGAGAGTTCAGTCCTGAACCCGCACTGCCGCTGCGACATATCGGGGCCTGTCCCCCCTCAGGTGTTCGTTGATCCTGGAGGCGATGATTCGCTCCAGGATCTTCGCCACCTCGTCAAGCAGGACGAGGGGCCTGAACCCCGAGGTTGGCCCGGTTTGGGTATCAGGACGAGCCTTCCCTCCTTCTAGCATCTCCACGACGATCCGCGTCCAGCGTGGCCAAGAACTCCTCTTTCTCAGAGTCCTTGGCCCGGACGGCGACCTTCAGGGCCTGCCTCGCGCCCTGAAGGGCGCTGTGCAGCCTTCTCTCCTCACTCCGAGTATGACGCCTGAGGCCCGCCGGCCCATGGTACTGGCGGTGCGGAGGTTCCCAATCTCCGCGGTCTACCAGTACACACTTTTTCCCGGGGCTCCTCTTGCCCTAACCGTGATCTTCCCTGGGCTCGAGGATATGCATTAAGCATTTATCCCTCGGAAAAAAAAGGAGTGATGGTATGACATCAGACAATCGTAATTCAATATATGTATACAGCCGGTATAAAAAATATATTGCCAGCTGTTAAACAATAAGGTATTCCAACAAAATGCACTCACAACATCCCAAAACAGGCCGGGATTTTCGTGATGTATGTTTTCGTATTCATCTCTGATGTTCGACGTTAATGATTCACCAGGAATCTGTAATCAAAAATTAAATATTCAGCTAAAGAGTATTTAGATACCTACCTAGAGATCGTATATAAATCTGCACCTTGCACTATACAAAATGGTTGGATGCACTATCGATATCGATACCTTCAATGAGTAGGATGCCATTTTTATTTTTTGGAAATTTTCTGTTATTTTTGTAAACAGCCATATTTATTTAGATGGCCAGGCTAAATAAGTACCTAAGTCAGTCGGTAGAACAGTATGGGTATTTATTATATATAAAAACGGGGGACAGAAATATGTATACACAGATACTCATATGTAAGTAAATACTTATAACAGGAACTAATACAAAATTGCAGCAGAAAAAGACGCGCGCACATGAAAAAAAACCTAACTGGAACCAGTGCTAAACGCGGACTCTTGGATACTAACTGAACTGAGCGCGCGGGGTGCGAAACAGAAAAGAAAACAGAAAAGGTTCAAAAATTAAGATGGCGTAGTGTTCATTTTAGGTATTGCTATGTTTTGTAAAATTACGTTTCCTTAGAGATTTTACCTATGTTATCGCTACATGGACCAATAACTAGAGAGAGATAAGGCCATCTTAGGCCCGGGTCTATGGCGGTCAGATTTTAGGGTCGGCCAATCGTGACAAAAAATTCGCTGATGATACAGGAAATAACTCAAAGTACCTAAATATTTTAAAGGTTCACGCATATTATGACGGGCTACACCGCACCGCATCGTATAACAATAATCTTCCTAAATCACTTTCGTACATTTTATATAAAAAATATAGATATGTTTACCAATAGCTAAATGAGTGCTGAGAAAGGGGCGGCTGGTGCTGACTACATGGCCTGGAGCCTAGGGCGGCCAAGACTGCAAATCTGCCATTACTGCTAATCGCGATACAACACAGCGTAATCGGGTATTCCGTACCTATAGGTACGTCGGATGCCGCGACGAGTGCCAAATAGCTATTATTGTAATTAATTTGTTTTACATTGACAAGCTGCAATTTATCTAATTTCTAGTGATAACATAGGTCGGAAAAAGGTGTTCCACATGTATAGATACATGTATAGACATAGTTACATGGAGCGACATAGAGATGTTAAAGCCACCAAATATGACTTAATTATGTTTTCGAATTTCGGAAATGGGTTTTACTATATCGTAGGACAAACTACTGACCTAGGAAGTCGAAGTTGGATTTTAAAGTAGTTAGTTCTATTGCATTTTCTACTGCATTTTTTTACATGGCACCATTAGAATTACGTTAAAATTCAACTTCGACTTCCTAAGTCAGTAGTTTTATCCTGCGATGCAGTAAAACCATTTCCGGAAGGAAATCTGGAATTTGAAATAGTAATTAATTAATGTTTGGTGGTTGTAACAACTCTATGTCACTCTTTATAGCTATATCTATACATGAACGTATATATGTGGGACCGATAAATTTTAGAAATCTTAGAGGTCAAAATGATGAAAGAGGTACATCCGGTAGAGGTACATAGTGCCACAACCAATCACGCACATTATTAAACCCCTGAACAGTTTATTGGTAGCCATAGCTACCAGTAACTCAATATGTTCACTTTCGGTCGAACGTCTCTGGTAACTATAGTTACCAGTAAATTACAGTACCCGATTGGAGAACTGTTTTACAAATAACTTTGGTGTTACCACACGTATAAACACCAAATTTTTACTAGTATTTCACTGTTAAATACTCGATATCCTAGTATAAAGAAACACATATTCATGATGCGTCCCTTTAACAGAAAATACATTGGCGGGATTGTTGACGTTTAGTGTTTGATGAAGACTTTAATTGTGATAGATGACATTATTACTTAATTTCGGTAATTATTACCTATCAAAATTATCGTCAGGATGTGCTTTTTCAGATGGTGTTAAAACTTTAACATTTGATATCTTATTAGAATCACAATCTTATTGGAAAAAAGGTCATCAAAGTGGAGGTCATTGCGCTTTGCGATTGTTTTTTTGAAAAAAACAATACTTTTTGGAGTAAAATATCACTTAGACAGATATGTATTGGCGGTCAGGAAAAGGGTTTTTAAAAAGAGGATTTTAATTATAAAAATGAATGGTTATTATCAGAGCGCTAAGACTAAACAGAAATAAAATATAATTACAGTTTAACAAATGCATATAAGCGATATTACTGGGCTGTGCGTGTAACCTACATACGATGTCAGCTATATCCAGGCCTTACGGCTTGGTAACTAGACACATAACTTTATTCAATAGAGGTTGAATTTAAACCTTTTTTAGGTCGTTACATTGTGAGTTGTGATAGGATTCGTCAATTTTCTTCCTCGCGACTTATGTTTTTTTATGCCATTTTCGCAAATTTTCGCGATTTTCGTCGCTACCTGCGACTGTTATTAATTTATTTTAAAAAGAGTTACACATTATATTCACATGATTCAAGTGTAAACGATAGGTATTTAAATGCTTGTCATCTTTATATATGTTTTGTTTCTTAATACAGTGAATATACAAAGTGGTTAGAAGTTAAAGCGTAATATACTACGAAAATTTCTCAGAAGTGTTCAGTGTACTTAGAAATTAACAAAAAAAGTCGTCGTATTACAATCATAACTGTAGCCTAAACAAAAGCTACGTAAGTGCTCTTATCGCCCATATTATTCGTTTTACAGTAGCTTAAAAGGTTCTTGAGTTTCAAGTGTTTATATTATACGTGTCTTATCGCCGCCTGTAATGTAAACAATAAAAAAGGTTCCATCTGATTAGAAAAGTTACAGGTATCAAATGTCATGCGTGCCGACAATCAAGTAGTGTGTTTAGTATAATTGTGGAAATGTACATTGACTTACCTGGTGATAAAAAGTTAGTTGCTTTAGTAGGGCTTCAAGATCGTCAACCTTGGACTGTCGACGTTGTAGCGTTTCGGCTGTAAAAAGTGCTAAAAGTATAGTCTAAAATAATGATAGGCCCAACCACAGTGGGCCCAACGAAAGGAACATGGGAAGAACCTGGTCCTTCATTTTGATTGCCTCTCCCGATCGGAAACTGCGTCTTTTCCGAGTCGAGGCGTATAATATCGCGGATGGGCTACCCGATCGGATGGATTTCTATTTGAATTCAAATCAGCGCCCTGGTTAAGAGTTTGTTGGGTAGATATAAGTTCTATATTTTGGTAACTTTTTGCTTGTACGGAATTTGAATTGAATTTGTTAGTCCAAGGCAAAGGTGTATAATCTTTTTTGTAAGTATTTAATTGTACAGCATGTAAAAAATATCAATGAAAAGTACCGGCAATCATGTAAATCATGACGAACAAGTAAAATAATGTAAAACCGCGTATATAAACTAAAAAAAAATTTGATACGTGAGATATTGCCCGTCTTGTCGGCTTCGATACGTATAGGTAAGTATGGCAACATTTTTACATGGCGCGATAATACACAATAGATTGTGTGAGGTCATATTGTTAATAGGATTTTTAGAACAAAAGCTTTAAATAGTGAGCTTTTCATTTTGACTGCAAGGAAAGAAAACATTTTTTTTGTAGATATCGAATAAAAATTTTCCAAGAACTTTTTCGCGCCTTTTGTACTTTTAATTATTTCTTAATTCATACTCAGAACGCAGAAGTGGAAATCCTAATAGTACATTTTCAATCACGGCTATTCATAATTTTATTCTTCTGGTAATTAAAAAGCGTTTTAGAAAAGACCAAACATTTACTTCTGTACGCTTTGGTTAAGCATACCTACATTACATGACTAAACTAACTACACTGGAATGAGAAGTGAAGAAAAGTTTTGCTAAACAAATTTTCGGCATTAACGAGCAATGTGCGCCATAAATGAAATCTAACAATACATGGTCACTCTTACAAAGACTTTGGTAAGTTTCACTCTTCGTAATAACGCCAGTATCAGCTAGGAATGTCAGCCAAAGCTCTTGGTCGTCACTGTGGGTGGGAAAATCACGATGTTTTGCGTGACCTTGTGCTAACGCCGAGAAGATCCTCATACTTATTGACCGCATAAGAGGTCTATTATCCAGTTTGTCTGAAACGATAGATAACGTCATGTGTTAATACATCACATAAACATAGTTTGTCTACAGCTTTAGCTGTATGCTTCGCGCATGAACGAAAAGTTTTTGATAATTTTGTATGGCTACGTGTAGGTAGGTACGCCACATTACGGGTACGCTACTGACAACAGCCACAATAAACTTATGGCAGAGGTACTGGTAGGCGTTAGGAAAAATGTCAGGATGTTTCAAACATTTATTTAAATAACTTTTGAAAAAAAAAAGTCATTGCATAAGGTGTTAGAAAAAGTTTTTAATTTTTTATGTTAGGTACCAAATGACGGGATGAACAAGTCGTGCGCCTGGTGGTAAGCGACACGCCTGTCCATAACAGTTGCAGTGCCACTCAGAGATTTCAATCATAAAGATCTGAGCAGCAGATTTCTGCCGGCAAACAATATTGTCAACGTTACTGAGTTCCGGTAAGTGGGTAAGTGAGGGTGCTGGTGAAACTACACGCACTTGGAACTTGTCAACTTTATGTATCCGGTTGACAGGCGCAGTGGCAGTGCCCCTCAGATACTTGCGATGTAAGGCGTGTCGCTTAACACCAGGCCTACGGCTTGTTCGTCCCGTCGCTTGACATCATAAAAAAATCTTAGGTACTTATATCCTGAAGTAAGTAGAATTGAGAGGACTGCTGTGGTAGGGTGAATTTATATTTGTCGACGTGTTCACATCTATTTGTCGTGTTCTGACGATATATTGAAACAATACCGCTTGGTTCTCGGAGAGTTCATAAGCTCCCAATGTTTGATTCGTCACAACCATGTCACAACACAGCACTGGCGCGTGCACAATTGTCTGATCTGTTGTGACGCGGCCGCTCCCCCGAATCAGTCTTGACGCAGATCGGGCTCGCTTATGATGCGACACAGTACCAGCCATCACAACACATTACGACACACTAATATAAACCTCACCATATTATATGAAACCGATAATGTACTGACGCGTTCCGACACGACACAGCAGACAAATATAAATTCGCCTTTAAGAACACGATGATGAATTTTGCATTGGAATGTGAACCAACCTGAAAATTCAGACATTTTAGGGTCTATCATCAAACCGCTCAGATCGTTTGGCACATTTCCCGTAGTATCTATATCCAGAGATGTGAACGTGACAGATTTTGATGTCTTCGCACTTTCGGTTCCGGCTGTGACGACAATATAAATTTAGAATTAATTGATTTCAAAATAAGAAGAGGTTCTTAATTCGATTGTATTTTTTTTGCGTGTAACACGATTACTCTGATATTAATTGTGAACCGATCTAGATTATTTTTTTGTTCGAAATGGGATATCTCATTAGTGGTTTCCACTCAAATTTGATGAAAATATTCTACCACTAAAGGTGGCAAGTTAGGGGATGAATCCGGTTCACCCACTTTCATTTATCCGATTTCATTAAACTTGGCAAATAGATGTAATTCCACAAATTTTTTAAGGTGGTTTTTTGAAATAAAAATGTTGTAGTTATATTCATTTTAGTCATAACGGCACATTTGTCGCTCATTTGGTGCTACACAGACGCAAATGTACTTCTTGTAATATTATTATAGGCGTTGGATTTAAATTGATTTTTTAATTTTATTTGAAATGTATGACGTGTTAATAAAACTTTGTGTATTTTTATAATATATAGGTATGTATGTTCAACATTTCTGCCGACTTTTCTCCAAACGTATGTAGGTAACAGTTCTTACAGATGTTTTCAAATACTTAAATAAATTTTGCCAAAATGTACTTACAATTATGTCAATGTAGCACCAAATCAGCGAAGTTGTGGTAGATTTGCATATAATATTCATTTTTATAATATAATCATTACTCGCACTTAGTAGCGAATCATCCAAATCACACATTTATAATGTCTTCCTAATGACGCGTGTACATTAAATACGTGCACAATTATACACACATAAACGGTCAATGAAAATATCATATTCTATTTAGCGCTATATATAGGGTAAGGATGCCGAATATGAGATACCGTTTTTATTTTTGCCCGTAAAAAATAAATTATTGCACTAAAAACTTCGAAAATCACAATATTAGATAGGGAATTTAATGTATTTTATCTATGAAAGACAGTTTAGTCCTAAGTATAATTTTTGTTTCTTATATCAGATATTATCAGAACATTCAGCAATTACGTCTCAAGCAAATGGTCTCCTATTATGAGATACTAAGGGTTGCTAATATGAGATAGTAACTCATATTAGGTTCCTTTGGTTTTGAGATACTAGATTTCGAAAATAAAGAAAGAAATCGTTTAAATAAACTTTTTATTGGCGGGACTTTTTAATCAATAACATCGTACTTCAAATTATAGGTCTAGTAAGGACTTTATATACCTATTCAACTTACATTATAATCTATGTCAGACTCATAATAATCACAGTGATTTTTATAATGGCACTTCTTAAAGAATATCAAAAAACAACAAATAATAAAAAGACAAAAGTAGTTTTCTAAACCTTAGGTATATCTAAACACAAAGACTCAAAAATCGTTCTGCTATTACTTCTCTATAATCCTCATGTCCACTTGAAACAGACTTGACATTTAGCCCATTTTTCTTCTCTTGTGTTTTCTGAAAACCTTCCGGTGCAGGAAGGACATTCAGCGTCATATGATACACCATCACTGCTGCTATCTGCAAATCTTCATACTCAGAGCTTATTTTTTTTTAAGTAGTCGTGTATGACCCTTGTGTGTATCCTAATATGAGATATCTCATTTTAGGTACCCCAGTGTGTCTCATATTAGGAAAACATCTACATTCACCAAAATGGTTGCCTATTTTTTGTTGACAAAGAAAATACAACAAAACTGCAAATGCATCGTAAAATTAATCATATAATTGATACAATGACTGTAAATTGAAAGCATATAGTGTAATTATAAAGTACACATAACCAACAAAAAAAAAAAGTAAACATACCTCGTAAACATTTGATGACAAAAATTTGGTTTTGTGGTTCCGCAAAAATCCGCGCCTTCACAATCTAACGTCGCCTCTGGATGTGAAGCAGTAACACAGATTCCGACCAGTTGCATTGTGGCTTTTAGCGACACTAGCGCCAAACGGTTGCGGCGACTAGTTTGGTCAAAACCTAACTATCTCATGTTTGGCGACTATCTCATATTAGGCATCTTTACCCTATTTTATACATGATCAAAGGGTATCTAGAAAAATACGTTTTACATATAAAACTGAGTGCACACTTGCTTGGGCCTGAAGCATGTAGGTAATTATAATGTAGCACATTTTAAAGTACATTGGGCGTTTAGCGCTTTTCCCATTGTAGTTTTAGGAGGATATACTTGTGTAGTTCGTATTATTTTTTACTTTCATGTTTATTTTTTTATTTATTTATCCATATTGTACAACTTACACTAATAGTAATAATAACTAAACATGTAACCCATAGTCAATAAGGGTTGAGTCAATCACCGTCTCCAAGCAGTAACTAGCCGATGTCAGAAGTCAGAATCATTCATCCAATTTAGAGATTCTATAAAGGCTAGATCCTCGTAGAATAGTGTCCGCCTTGGTGGCTCCGTGCAGGTTACATATAGAGTGAAAAGCGGTTGTCGATGTTGGCGAAGAACATATCGTGGTGTTGGCGGGATAAAAAAATGGAAATATAATAAAAGCACTTTTGACATATGATCATATGTGGCGTGATTATAACAATAGTACAATATATGAACTAACTTTTTCTATGAAGAAATTACCCGTCAAAATCAAACGGTTTCTTGCTCATAGTATTTGTATAAATAAACATAAAAGTAATCATGAATCATTGACTTACAATTATATGGACCCGACGGCCGCGCTAAAAAGTGTCCGAACTTATAGGGCGTTAGAATCGAGCGTCATTTACGCTTTAGTCTTCGTTTGTTCGACTGACAGCGAAGCAAGCAAAATTAGACAGTACTGCGATGACATTACAATTTAAATTCAACGTTTTAGCTTTTTCATATTCCTTTACATGTCACTACGTTTAAATAGGTTGACTTGGGACATTTTTTTCGTGGTTTTTGTATTAGACCCGTCGTCCATTTATTTGTAAGTCAATGTCATGAATGCAAAAAACGGGATCTCCGTCTTGGTAAGTTGCAAGAGCCTTAACACACTGGCGATTTGAAACCTGCCGTCCGCTAAGTGACAAAAACAATTTTTTGAGATATAAAAAATCATAACCCAGTTTTAAAATATTGAACTTATTAAACGATATTTCAGCTATGCATCGTTAGAGTAAGTTCCGATAAGTCGAATACGTTAACTAATTTTAACTGTTTTTTAAAAGAGAATTTTGTGCTCTATCTTTTGCTATTTAAAACGGATATTTGACCTTTTGTCCCTTAGCCGCGTTTTGGTTAGTGGACGGCAGAAAGCGAGGCGACCGTAATCCCGCGGGTGTCTGGCGATTTGCGAGCGATTTGAAAGCGAGGCGATTCATTGTTGCCAATAAATAAAAAGCTCTATATATATATCTACATTAGGCACCTTAAATATCTTAAAGTATAATAACAAAGAACTAACTAGCAGCCATATAACTTTTATGTGGAGTTGCGATTGATGAAGTTTGCTTAATTTTATCTGCTGATCTGTAAAACACAGAAGTTTAAATGGATTTAAAATGACTTGGAAATCGAAATTTCAGTGTTAACACTGCTTCGATAATTGGTAATCAAGAATATTTCATCATAATGCTGGTGTACGTAATAGGATGCAACAGAAACGACCAAAAGTCATTGTAATCAAAGTAGTGTTCGCTGAAGATCTGTGTTTACTTGTATGACCGCATATAAATATTTTGAAACTAACGCTCATTTAATATAATTATACTTAATATAAACGTTTTTCACATAACAACTCACTTAATATGATGAATGTTTAATATAAACTTACATTCTATAATTTCATTATTGATAACAATCATTAACCCTCATACTCATTTTAAATAACAGTGATAAGTTATAAGCCTCAGTTTACATGACTAACTAAATATTTGATTCGACTGAAAATGACATGGCCTCATAATTTGGAGTAAAAATTTTTTTTCCCGCTGTTTTTCGATTTAGCCGTAATTTATTTATGTAACTTGCTTTGCTCGGACTGAAAATCAGCACGAAAAGATTTCTAAGATTGTTTGATAATAATTAGTGGTCATAATATATTTTTGTAATTTTTAAATATGGCCGCCATTAAAGAGCTATTTAATTTTTTTCAAAGTCCTAAGTGCCGAGGACACTGGCCGAGGTCCGCGGAGGGCGAAGCCCGATGCGTCCACACGCCTTCATATGGAGGTAATTATATACGGAGGCGTAATAGATTACGAGTACAAGTTCTCACAATTGTAAAAATGTAAGGCATACTTCCCGATGTAGTGGAAATGAGATACTTATTATAGCGTTGTTGTATCTCAACCATATCAGTTAGATTCCATTTTCTTGAAAGCTATGCCAAAGAGAAGTATTTAGGGGGAAAAAATGCCAAACTACTGCCGAATTTCCTGTACTATGAATACCAAAACAACGATAATCCAGAATACTCAGATCAAAACCAACTTAGGAATGTTCGTTTCTTTAATTGGTCCAAATCGGGAATCGACCTCCTCCTCAAGTGCCCATAGTACTAACGCTGTGCCACCGAAGAGCATGAGCACACCCCGTAAACTGAACCCGACCACGCGCCGCAGTCCGAGCCCGACCCCACCGTAGGTGGGGTACAGGACTCGTATCTATTAAAATTGGTTATTAATTGATTTTCACTAATATATGAAGCACACACACATACACACATATGTGTTTCCTTAATATTAAGAGAAATAAGCATTGCAAAATTTAAAATGTACACGTCGAGTGCCCGTCTGTTTCTTCCGAAATTCCTGGCACAGTGGCATGGACCTAGATACTGTTGAACCAGTAATTAATTACCCATTATACTTGGAGTTCTTTGCTGATGGTATCACGGAAACAATAGGTATCTACTAGAACTTTCATACCGGGAATCTCGAAAATTTCCAATCTCGACTATTTTTTGGTATTTTCGAGACTCGACACTGATGTTCTCAGTTTTGAGAATGTGGTGATATTTGAGACTTAAGTCAATCAATCAATTAAACTGCAGCGTTTCCATAAGGGTCTAATTTGGCGCCTTTAAAAAAACTGCCTTTATTCTCAATTTTATAATTTAAGATATATATTATAGAAATTGATTAAAATATAATGTTTTGACTGACTTACTGAATAGCCAACATAAACATGGAAACTTACTTTTGAAATAGTCTCGAATATCTTGTTTTTCCCAGTCACGCCTATTCAAGATTGTTTTTTTCCGGGACGCGGAAATTTAACCAGATTGAAAGCCCGAGTAGATACTAGGTAGATACCTAGAAACCGTGATGTTCAGTATAGGAAGTAATATTGAAAACCTATACCACCAATGGCAAAATCCAACACAATTATAACTACGTCAAGTGAAAACGGGATTCCTAGCTTTTTAGGTTGGGAGCTGCTCATGAAAGACTCGTCTCTGGCATAACTGGCATATTCATCGGTGTTTTGAGACTCCTTGTACAGAGAACAGAGACTGACGAAGTCCTCTTGGTTTTGTTTGTAGGCTCTGTGATTCGCTTCTACCAGGGATGAATTGCTCTATAAAAGAATATTTTTTTAGTGTAATAATGGCCTATATCTTAAATATATCTTAAACTAGTTAAGTATTGGTATATAGATTTTCATTTTAGATATAAGTATTCTACCAAAATATCAGTTGAGTATAAGAATTCGCTATGGTAATTGGTTTATTTCATGTACATGCACATTTAAAAAGAGATATCCTAATATAAGAAGTTATAAAAAATATTTAAAGTTATGGGTTTGGGTTATAAAAAATATTATTCTTAAACATGCTCGGAAACTTCAACAAAGAACACACAAAGAGCCAGATTTATGTGACTACAAAATTTAAAAAATCGTCATAATCCATGAAATTCGTAGAATAGTACGGACAACGGCACATCAGACTACACATTTTTGTTCGAAAATCGCCTCCATCGCAACGGAACAAGATCGATACGTCAATGTGTAGCTTGATGTGCTGGCGTGTGTACATTACTGCAGAGACCGGGAAGTAAGGGATTGCTGGACAAGTATGAGTTATAAGACCGAGCGCTAGCGAGGCCTTGTAATAATTAATACGAGTCAAGCAATCCCCGTTACCGCCGAGGCTTGTATAGTGCTTTTCTCAAACAATAGTTGTGCAAATCGTTATTAATGCCGGGTTCACGAGTCTTACACTTGAGTTTTTCGCTTGCTGGCGTTGGCAGGGTACACGGCGTAGAAATCTGCCTTTCGCGCAAAGACGTTCATGAGTCCTTCCTCTTTGCGTTGCGGAGAGATTTGCGCGCATGCGCGGCGCCTTGCCTTTGTTTGGATTGTCGACACTCTCGAACTCGCTGCTACTCTGTCATTGGCCAGTGTTGCTGTACTCCGCAAACGTTACTTGTTGCTTGCGTGAAAATATCAGGCTTGCTAGATATCAAATTTACGGAACGCAAAGAAATCCAACGCAATGCAAGCGGCCAGCGCAAGCGCTCGACTCGTGAATAGTCCTATCTGCGCGTACGCGACAGATCTTTGAGTCACGCAAGCAAGCGATAAGCGCAAGTAAAAAACTCGTGAACCCGGCATTATAGATAGATTTTTAGAGTTTAAAAGTTTAGAGAAGTGGACAGTAATGGATTTTCATACTTTGCAGGCCTTGGCCGGGAAGAAGTCGGACGGTCCATAAATGACAAACTTTCCGTGTTCGTTTTTTGAAAGTAATGTAAACATTTCCAAGCATGTTCGAGAAATATCCATTTTTTTACCATTACGTTAACCTTCTAAATATTTGACCATTGCGTACAACATGCGATTTTGCGAAAAAAGAGCCATCTGCTTACAGGTAACAAATAATTATGAAACTCCAAATGTAATTAATTTATTATTTACTTATTAAGCATGAGCTGTAGAGCTATGAGCTTAAAAAAGATAACAAATAATTATTACAAAAAAATGAAAGTTATACTAAAAATTAATTCATGTAATAACTGTATTACCAAAAACAAATAAGTTGAAGATTCCACGCCAATGCCGCAGGCCCCGTGTGAAACCACCAACAGTCGAGCGAAGACCTGCCATCTTACCTTACGTAAGGGGTGTTACTGACAAGATCGGAAGAGTCCTCAGGCGTGCATCTATCAAGACCTATTTCAAGCTCCTGAGGAAGATTTCTCAGTTCCTGAGACCCGTGAAATGTAACATCCCCTTACAGGATGCAGGAGTTTATAAGCTTGACTGTGAGTGCGGTCTCTGTTATATTGGACAAACAAAGCGAAGTATTTGTACCCGCGTCAAAGACCATATAGCTGAAGTGAAACACCGTCGCGTAAACAAATCTGCAGTCTGCGAGCATGTCATGGATAAACCTGCACATTCAATGAAGTTTGACCAACCCCAGGTACTTGCAAAAGAAGTCCGTTATCTACCCAGGATGCTGCGAGAGTCCATTGAAATTAAAAAAACATCCTAATTTCAACAGGGAAGATGGTTACTCCGTACCACCAGTTTGGGATCCAGTATTTCCTCTAATGAAAAATCCCAAACAGACATAAGACTGCAGTACTAATTAATATGTTTTTGTTTATTCTAACGAAACGTCGGTTTGTTTGAAAAAACAAATATACGCGATTTAAATCCGGAAAAATAGTTTCATTTCCTATGTGTAACAATCGCGAAAACCTAAGAACTCGATATTTATATATTTCCTACTTTATAAAATGTTGTAAACATATTTGTATCTTTTCAATAACCTACATTTCGCCCTAGTAAAAAAGTAAGGTCATTAAAATAATTGGTTTTTGTACATACAGAGTTCAAAAGCGCGAAAAGATTCACTCCTTTGGTATAATCATGCGTAGCTTTTCTAGATTCGCTGTCCATGAGCAAGGAACATTCCGACTCAAATAAGAATTCACTTTGTTCTTTGTCTTCTGGAAAAGACTAAATTAACACATTATTTAATTTTTAATAATAGGGAAGAAGGAGGCACCTTTGAACAGGGGCAGCTTAGAACAAAAGCGTTTACGCAGTCAGTTTGAATGAAAATGTTCTAATAATAATAAATATAAATATAGTAATAATAATAGTAAATTGATTTCTCTCCACAAATTTTGGTTACAATTTTTGGCACAGAAACAAACCTTATTTTCGAAAGTGACAAAATTTGTAGGAGACTGGTATCTAACTAAAACTAGATCAGAGATCTGTGTCTTAGGCCTCCACGCTCCTCACTACAAACTTAATGTCATTTAAATTTACACCAATTCTAATAGAGATGTAATGTAAACTTTTGAAAGTATACTATAAATAAAAATAACAAGGGAACATGTATTTAAAACAGTCATGTGTGGTTGTGTGTACGTGTTTTTGTGTGAGTTATAATTGCATGTAAAGGTGTTAACTTGTATTTCAGTGTGTGTGTAAGGTGTTGTTTCATATTTTATTTTTCCATATCTACGTTTCTTCTCTAATTAAATTAGGAATTATGTTTATAATATGGCAACACCGAGCTCCACACCTCTGTCAATGGCAATGATGGTCAGTATGCGCGCACCAAAACCTGACAAAAAGGTTATGTTTAGTTTCAGCGCGTCGTAAAGTAAATATTCTCAAAAATAGTTGTAAAGATATTACTGGAAGAATATAGATGAACTTTGCTGGTCATATGAATTGTTTTATTCCTAGAATATTTAACCGTTTAGTGGCGTTATTGGTTTCAACATGCGATATGTAATAGTATATTAAATATATAATGAATAATTTAAAAAAAACTATTTACTACTTTGTGTGAGAATTTTAACTGATGTTGACTGAACTACTAGTGATGCCAAAGTTCTGATTAGCTTGCTCTGCTAATATTTTTGTAAGAAGTTGTTTTATTTATTTTTTGCAGTTATTTTATTCTATTTTGCACTATTCCTGTGATTTTATAATTAATTACAATACAATACAAATACAATACAAAAATTCTTTATTGTACACCAAAAAAGGAAACAAATACAATACAATTAAATTAAAAATAAGCGGTGGTACAATGGGCGGTCTTATCGCTTTAAGCGATTTCTGCCAGACAACCTTTGGATGGAAGTAATTATATAATTCATAGGAAAAAGACGGTGGTGTATGAAGAATTACTAAATCAACAGATAAAAATTGATAAATAAATACAAATATACATATATTTATAAATAAATAATAAAACCAATACATATATATGAATATCGTAAACTACTATATATTCTCATACTTATAAATATAAAAATTTCTAAAACTTAATTTCAAAACATAAAAATACCTAAGCAGTCCAGGTCACACTAAATTAAGGTAGTGTACTTTAACCATATTTTTGAATATATTCAATGATTTCGCTTGTTGAATAGACAAAGGTAAAGCGTTCCACAAACGAATAGCCTGAACAGTAAAGGACTTGTCGTAATACTGGGAGGTATGCAATGGCATCTTAAGTTGAAGAGTTGAAGAAGAGCGCAGAAGTCGGGGGTTGTATTGATGGGCGAATTCAAATCGCTCCTTAAGATAAGGTGGTGTGTGAGGAATGAATAAGATGCCATAGAGAAGATTAAGAATATGAGCATTCCGGCGAAGTCTAATGGGTAACCACTTCAGCTCATTGCGATAAATGGAAACATGATCAAATTTCCTCAGACCATAAATGAAACGGATGCAAAAGTTTTGTAGACGTTCGAGTTTGTTGAGCTGTTCTTCGGTTAAATCCAGATAGCAGGCATCAGCATAATCAAGAATTGGAAGAAGAAGAGTTTGGGCAAGCGCAGTTTTCGTGGCAATAGGTAAAAAATTACGTAACCGTCTGAGAGATGCGGCAGACGCAAACAATTTGCGGCTGGTCTCAACTAATTGAGATGCCCAAGATAGCTGCCTATCAATAAGTATACCTAGATTTTTAACATTGTCACTAATTTTAATGTAGGTGTCGTCTATAATAACCTGCGGCAAGCGAAACCAATCTATCTTGGATACCATTCTAGAGCTGCCAATAATAATCATTTGCGTTTTCGTTGCGTTCAGCTTAAGACCAAATTGTTTACTCCACGTCGAAATATGACGGAGATCATTATTGATTACCTCAATGGCTTCGTGCAGGTTTTCAAGTTGCCGGTGAGTGTAAATTTGTAAATCATCTGCATACAGGTGGTAGGATGAGGTAAGACTGCGGGAAATTGAATTAATAAAGATCGAGAAGAGAAGAGGAGATAAAACGCCGCCCTGTGGAACGCCAGCATTAATGTCACACCAACAAGAGAACCTCATCAATGCGAACACACTGTCGACGCCCATGCAGGTAACTATGAAACCTAGAGATTACCGTTGGAGATATGTTAAGAGTGCGTAAAAGTGCAATCAAAATGTCAAAATCAACGTTGTTGAAAGCATTGCTGAAATCAAGCAATGACATTACAGTGAGTTGCTGTTGCGACATACTATACCTAATGTCATCAGTGATCCTAACAAGAGCAGTCACAGTGCTGTGTCCTGGTCGGAAGCCGGATTGAAAGGGATTAAGAAGGTTGTTACGTATGAGAAAAGGAGTAATTTGGTTATAAACTAGTCGCTCTAGCAGCTTTGATAGAAAGGGAAGTATAGAAATAGGTCGGAAATCAGAAAAGTTAGATGGATTGGCTTTTTTGGGAAGAGGAGTAATGAGAGCTTCCTTCCAAAGGGAAGGAAATTCTCCGCTGCTGATAGAAAAATTAAGAATATACCGGATCACAGGTAAAATCTCATCAACTATGAATAAAAACATTTTACGACCAATATGGTCACTGCCAACAGCATTGGACGAAATAGATTCTATGCCCTTCTTAACATCACAATCAGTAAACTCTTTTAAAGAAAACGGAGGATGGTCGGCAGTTGGAAGCGTGGAAAGATAATTTAAGGTAGATGTTTTAGTCGACCCGTCGAAGGCAACGGAATTAGAGAAATGATGATTAAGAGCATCAAGGTTTAAATTTTTTGGGAAACTATCTTGACGTGACTTACCAACTCCCTTATTACTTATTTACTTAAGAAGTATTATAAGTATAGTATATATATTTTATTATTAATTACTTAAGAAGTTAAGTGTTTCTTTATTTTTGTAAGGATAATATCATTTGATCCTCAAAGAAATAATTCATCTATTGTAAATGTGCACTTTTTAAATAAATGATATTTTTATGTTTTATATATATATTAATTATTTCATCTATATTAGTTGATCTACAGATACATAATAAATGAACTGCATTCAAGGTAACATTATTATTATGTTTAAGCATACCAAATTAATATTTGGTATTCATAAATAATAATTAATCATCTTTTTTATCATTGGTCTTTTCTTTTAACAATTGATGACATTTAGAACCAGTATTATCTTTTGATATTGATCTCCTAATAGATCTTGGTTGATTGCTTGCGCCTTCCATTCAGTAGGTTAGGTTAGGTTAGTATATGAACCCCCCCGAAGGGGTTCCCGCCTTGTCGTGGCGGGGGGGCTCTAGTAGCCGTGGTCGATTTCATCCCACGGTGAAGCTAAGAGGAACCCACGGGGCCGGCCGATGGTGGTAGGCTGGCCCGAGGAGGAGGGCGTTCCGCGCGGGGCTCGTTTGGTCAGCGGGACCGCGCGGATGCGCGAGGAGGAGGGTCGCGGGGGGAGAGACGTGTCGGTGTGTCGTTGCCGCTCGTCCTGTCCTCCGCGACCCTGGCGGGGCTGCACCGCTTTCGACGATGCAGTGGCGGCGGGGCCGCGGGGGAAGAGACGTGTCGGTGTGTCGCTGCCTCTCGTCCTATCCTCCGCGGCCGAATGTGGGTCCGCGCGGATGCGCGTTAGGTGTTGCGGCGGAGCCTGTCATCAGATCCGCCACGGGGGCTGGGGGAGCAGCCACTGAACTTCACAGTTGAGTGGATGCTGTCCTGGCCCCCCATGGCCCCTGGGAAGCGGACTCGGGGGAGTTCGCTGCCTAGCATAAAGGGGCCCGGGATGGAAGGCTCGTCTGGTGTTCGGCGAGCCTCACATTCGGAGTTGGGGGACCGATGTGTCTCCCTTCTCGGGGAGGGGCTGCGCAGGGCGCGGCCAGCCTCTGGTGGGGGCGCGGACGAATGCAACAGACAGCGTACCCGTACCCCCACCTACAGCGGAGAGGAGGAACACTCCGGGGGTTTAGTGCCGTCGGGCTGCTCCCTGGCCCTAACTCCGGCTCTGCCCCCGCGGGGCCGGGGTATCAGTAAGCAGATTCCCCCGGATTAACAAAAAAAAAAAAAAAAAAAAAAGGTTAGTATATGAAAAGCAGCACGAGCCGAGCGACCGAAACGAGCGTGTCGCAGCAGTGGTAACTAAATTTTATTTTTAATTCTCATTTGTCTTAGTTTTGAGGCCCAACATTATAACAAAGTTAATTTATTTAAATTTTCATTGAATTAATATTCAATTATTTTTATGTGAAATTACTTCACTAGTTTGTTATAATTATTAATACAAAGTTAATTTATACAAATCAAATATATTTTTCATAGCTCAGAACAGATTAAAATATCGATCGATTTAATTTGTCTCAGAGAAAGAGAGGTAATCATTTTGCCTCCTGCTTTTGCAAATTTAAAAAGATCATTTAAGTAGATGCTATTTTTTTCCATGATTTTTTCCAAAATCATGGAATAAATAATAAATGAACGTTTAATAGCCTACCTAAATAAATCTAACATTCTTTCGGATTCGCAATACGAGTTTCGCCAGCGTAGATCCACAGGGGATGCCATTCTAAAACCTACAACCCAGTGTTGGGCAAAATTTAATTGTTCTGGCAATTAAAGATTGACAATTGATTAATTGTCAATTGCGAAACAGCAATTAACGATTGATCAATTGTTAGTTGCGAGAACCGCAATTAACAATTAATCAATTGTTAATTGCGGTTCTCGCCAGTTAAGGAGCCTGAGCCACCCAACCGGGGCCCCCAAACGAGCCCCTAACCGGGGCCCCCAAACCGGGGCCCCCAAACCGGACCCCCAAACCGGGGCCCTCAAACCGGGGCCCTCAAACCGGGGCCCCCAAACCGGGGACCCCAAACCGGGGCCCCCAAACCGGGGACCCCAAACCGGGGCCCCAACCGGGCCCCCCAACCGGGCCCCCCAACCGGGCCCCCCAACCGGGTCCCCAACCGGGGGCCCCAACCGGGTCCCCAACCGGGCCCCCAACTGGGCCCCCAACTGGGCCCCAACCGGGGTCCCAACCGGGGCTTCCAACCGGGGCCCCCAACTGGGGCTTCCAACCGGGCGGAATTGATTTTAAATGCAAATTTAATTGCAATTAAAATCAATTCAATTGAAATCAATTGCAACTAAATTCAATTGCAATTGATTTCAATTGAATTGATTTTTTAATCTGATTGAATTATTGATTGAAATATAATTGATTAACGCCCAACACTGCTACAACCTTGATTACAAACAGTGTAGATAAGGGCAAAAAATGCCTTGCCGTTTTCTAGACTTGAAAAAGGCATTTGACACCGTATCCCTCCCCATTCTTGTACACAAGCTAGAAAGAATAGGAATAAGAGGACACTCACTAAAACTGCTAAGTGACTACTTGACTGGTCGAACTCAACAAGTCAGGCTTAGTAATTACATAAGTGAGGAAGCAGACATCACTTCTGGGGTGCCCCAAGGAAGCGTGCTTGGCCCTATGCTATTCTTCACTTATATAAACGGTTTGACACACCTCATTGTTGAGCACGGTAATGTGCTATCCTACACCGATGACACTGTAATTATGTTTGATGGCTCAACTTGGGAATCTGTATTCGCGAGTGCTGAATAGGGTCTTCTTAGGGTAGCTGGATCGCTTAAAGGTAACCTCCTGACTCTTAACACCGATAAAAACATGTGTTTTACTAAATACACAAGAACTCAACCACTTCAAAACCTGTCGCTTAAAATACACAATTGTAACAAAAATATTACTCAAGAGTGTAATTGTGTAGAAATTCAGAGGGTAGCATCCACCAGGTATCTTGGCATCATGCTAGATCAGCGTCTTTCATGGTACCCACATATTGACTATGTAAATAGTAGAATACGAAAGCTCATTTGGCTATTTAAAACACTTAGACACATTGCGGATAAAACCTTACTTGATCAGTTGTATATCATCTTAATTCAATCGATAATGAGTTATTGTCTTGTTGGGGGTGGTGCTTGTAAAACCAAATTCTTGGAGGTGGAAACGGGGCAACGATGTATTCTTAAGGTAATGTACTCAAAACCTTTCAGATTCAGAGAAAATTATACATCCTTTTCACTGTACCAAAGCTACATAAGTCCATTACTTTTAACCCTTCACTCATGTCCCGTAGAAGGAATTATATCGTTGCTCCTCAACCAATTTCCAAACCATTGTTTCCTGATAGGCAATTTGTAGTGTATTCGGCACGTATGTATAAACAAAAAAATAAATGTTGGTAATCTACAGTGGTATAATTGTAAAAAAGCTTTAAAAAATTGGTTGGTATCAATCATGAAACGGAGAAAATATCCCACCCTTAAGGTACCCATATTATATTATTATTATTGTTATTATTATCTCGAGAATACCATAATGGTTGATGTTAGATATAGTATGTGTTGTTATTATTATTAGTATTATTATTATTACCTCATGAAAAATTATGTTATTCTATACAAATTCTTCAACTTGTGATAATTTTTAATACATTATTATAGAAACCAATTAAGGTTTATTTCTGTATACTAGAGAATATTGGAAGAGCGGGTCTTCTTGATACAGGTAGATAGTAGTAGATACCTACTAGGAAGATTCAAACGTCAACTCTAATTTAAGTTTTTGTGAAAAAGAAATAATGGATTAAGTAAAAATATTTTGTTATAAATAAGTAATTTTCACTTAAATTCATGAAACCTAGGCGGGTTCCAAGCTGCCCCAGGCGTGGGACAGCTTTGCACATTTGAGATCTTTCACAAAAATAGGAATTCTGACAGAATTCTAAACTTTTTGATCGTGCTCATTAAGAATGATTATAGCCAAAAATAGCAGCAATCAAAACATATAAATAATAATGATTTAGGATTTACCAGATACGTAAAAAAAGATCAAAGTTGCCTCCTTCTTCCCTATTAATAATCATTTATTTCTAATCACAATGGCATTGATCTTAAGATAGGTTTATACAAGTTTATAACTGCCTCCGTGGTCGAACGGTTACCACGCTGGAGTGCTACGCAGAGATCCCGGGTTCGATTCCTGGGCCGGGAGAAATATTTGTATGACCTACATTTATTTCTCTCGTGAGTTTGGGTGTAATTTGTGGATGTCTATGTGTGTGTCCGTGGTACCCGCTATATAGGGTTTCCCTAATGCGGGTTTAAAAAAATAAATAAATAAATATTTACTTACAATGTGTTAGACTAATTTGTGAGAGCGGAACCTGTATTAAGATACCCTGTGTTCCGGTTTTGAAGGGTACGGGTGCAGTGGCAGTACCCCTCAAATCTTTGCGATTTAAAGCTCTGAGTGGCACTGCAACTGGCTTGTAGCTTACCATCAGGCGCACGACTTGTTGTTGATATTATATAAAAAAGCCCTGTTACAGTAAATTTGTATAAGGTTGCAGTACTCATCCCCCCATACTTCCACTTGACACACTCCATACTTGATGTATAAATAGATGTAGTAGGACAATTTAGTAGTAATATTATATTACTTACAAGAAGTATCTCGTTCAGAATGCCTGTGACCAATATGCGACCAGAAACCAAGACTTGTAGAGTATCTTTCTCCGTAGACATTTCCGTGCACTTCATTCGCGCTTGTGTCTCAATTCGTTCCCTGGGGGGAAATAGTTATATTTTTTACATATAATCACGCCTGTAGGCTTGACTAGTTCATGAACTTGGAATTGTTAGGAATGAAGTCAACACAATACAATAATACAAATATTCTTTATTCCACACTGGGATAAATACTACAAAAAATAAAAAGACAGGTACAACAGCCGGCCTTATTGCTATATAGCAATCTCTTTCAGGAAACCTTCGGGTTACAGAAAAAAACTATGAGATAGTAAATCGTTACGTACAGGAATTCGTTCATTATGTGGAATTAGTTTCTTGTGCACGATCTTAATATTTCTTTCAATTCACAGACGCGAGACGATGGGCGGTGCGAACGAGACAATTAGTGGAGTATCATTGCTTTTAATACAAGTTCGAGTGAGATGCACGACTGAACCTTGCCAGCTCGGTTAAGACTCAAGCAAAAACTTGTAAGTTTACAATAAACTTTTTTCATATTTACACAGTTTATTGCGACTCGACAAAATGACTGCACCGCGCCTGATGGAAAGTGCGAATACAGTCCAGAGATGAGAGTAACGGATAGAAAACACAAATATCTTCACTCCGTCACTATCATTTTGCCGGTCTGGCCAAATGCACTGGATGTACACCAACTGATCCCTGAACGCGATTCGCAAAAGCGTTTCACTGTGGAGGGTTTTCCGCCGTGTGTACTGTGGTCGCTATCCAGTCGGCACAGAGCCTACCACAATGCTAAGCAGATGGACACTTGTGACGCCCTCGGTCGCCTCTTACGACCCCCACGGGCATGTATGGGGAGGCGACAATGTATTCTTAAGCCGTCGCCCCACGGCTAATAGTTACACACCATTTGTGTAGTTATAATGTTATACATATATATTTATTCATAAAAACCTATAAAATAACAAACTCAAATAATAAGTGCGTAATATATGTATGTATTATGAAATAAAATTACATAAAGTAAAATTTAAAAAAATGCGAAGACTGCAAATACGAAAATCACAAAAAAAGAACAAAATGCAAAACAACTGGAAAAAAATTAAATATTTACATAATAAATCGTTCACACAGACAAATGAACTAAATTGGATCGCTCTTTCTAAAGAGCGAGCAGGCACAAGTCTACACGCCTGGATCCTACACGACTAGGTTGAGACTACGGACCGCTTCCTCTTTTCTCGATCCTATGTTGGATTGCCATTCTGTTATTTTTTACTATAACGGAATCACTATCATAGTTTTGGTTAATTCTTTTGTGTAAATGTTCACGTAGAAAACTATAATGTTTAGTGTGATTGCACAATTTAGTCCGCTACTTGTAGTCAAATTTATCATTAGAGATCTCAACCTGACAGCCGCTAGTCTCATTTTACACATACTCATCATCATGCTTGTCTCCCACCGGAGTGGGCAGAGACAATGACCCTCCATCTTTTACGCTCGCGACAAATCTCTTTCGCTTCCCCTACTCCCATCAGTCTCTTCATACACGTCCATTTATTATTGGTACTTTAAACCCGACTTTTTAAAGGTCATCACCGTCGCATACGTCGAGGTCTGCCTCTCCCCACGCCTTCATACACATTCGCTCTACAAAATTGTGGCGTCAATCTACCAATATTCATTCTTTTTAAATGACTATCGAAGCATCCCCCTGTTTATGCTGGTCACTCGCAACACTCTTTTATTATCTCACTCTCTAAAACAGAATCAGTGAAAAAGAACATTGATCTGCTAAAAAGAATAAATAATATACATTCGGTCTCTACAATCTACATGCGTCTATTATTTTTCTGTTATCAAATTATAGATGATTTAAAATTAATATCTATTATTTATTAAAAAGATGTAATATAAAATCTACTGAGTGAGTCAGCGAAGTCGATTCTTTAAGGTCACACACGGTGACTTTTAGCAGCGACGCAATAGCGCGTTTGCATCGCTGTTAAAAGTCGCGGGCGTGTGTAAAGGTAGACGCGTTACTGCATCGC